GCTTCGGCAGGGGGGTTGGACTAGATGACCCACAGAGGTCCCTTCCAACCCCTACTATTCTGTGATTCTGTGATTCTGTGATTCTGTGATTCTGTCATCAATGTAATTATTTATGGAATGATACAAACTGAGTATACAATGCCCCCCTTCCCACAGCAGTTTTCAAAATAACCAATTTTGAAAAACACAATGGACTAATGTGATTCCTAAATTGTGTGCCTTGGGTATCAAAGCATTAGCCTTTTATCTGTTCAGGTGTTCTCTGAGATGAGCAGAGGTTTCAGCCGTGGAAAAGGCAGCATAAGTCTGCCTTGAGCTGTGATTACGCACTCAATTCTAGTCAACAAAATCTGCGCTTGCCAAGACAGGCAGCCTGGCTCTCCCTCCTGCCTCCGCCCCTGGGTTGATGCTAACGTTCTTCTGGTCACAGGACAGATCGGGGAATTCATCCAACTGAGTAGTAACCTCGTCAAAAGCTGGATCTTGGTCCTTCAGCAATCTTGCCACATATACACAGAGCCCTACATAAACAAGGAATCGTGAACAAGCAGCTGTAGATGGGAGCAGAAGGGAGCTGCCCTTTTCAGGAGAAGCAACACCAGTTTATCAGGTTAAAACAAATTGGGAATCACAGCTTTAGCCAAACACAAACTTGATTATTCTGTCATCGAAGAAAAGAGACTTTGTGTTTTTTTTGCAATAGCCATATAATCTGGTTCTTTATCTTTTTAAGGAATTTGTTTTCCTCACAGAAAAACCTGAGCAGTTCTGTCACAGCCAGACACCTGCGATGTCGCAGATATTTTTTGCAAAGCTTCTCTGTCCCATTTATACTTGCTTACTTTCCCCAGGAAATACCTTCATGTTACAGGATCTCACACCCATGTGAAATAAAATGTCTGGTAGCAGAAGGGAAGAAAGTGGAACACAGGCTTTTCTCCCATGATACATTCCCATTTCAAACTCAAGTGTGAGTATTTTCAGTGGTGGATTGTTAAACACAACATATGTCAAGTCATCGGTACTTCCTCTACTGTATTATCTCTAGCACCTGGTTTATGATGTTACTGGAAGGTATGAACATGCTTCTGAATGCAAACATAAGAGTTTTCACTAATAACAAGAGAACACTGTCACTGGAACTGTGGTCTACAACAAGCTTCCCCTCCAAACTCACAGGTGCCAAAAGTCAGGAATAAATAAGGGAGGTTTTGGAAGGATGGTGCGGTTTTCTGCCTTATGTAGAAAAATCTCTCATATTGCTATGTTTGCTGTAGATACCTCTACTCCATCATGTGAGGATTGGAAGGAATCAGAGAGGATCCAAACCCAAAGATGAATCCAAAATCTAGATGTGGTTTTGCATCCAGACCAGAACTTCAAGGCTTACGACTCTAAGTAATGCCTCCTGAAATGAAACGCTGCACTCAAATGTCACTCAACTTTGGAGGCGCATCCAAGGTTCTGCATCTTCAGCTCAAACGTGCTAAGAAAGGCAGTATAACTGAAGACTCATTTTCATCCTTCTAGACAACCCAGCCTGATGTGGGTCTGAACTGCTGCCAAACACCAGTACCTAGCTATATAAAGGCAGCTGTGTGACCCGCTTCCTCCGTTTTTATGTGCTGAACGTGATCACTCTGCGCATGTAATGACCACCGCCTCAGCTGCTGTCGTTTGATGCATGTCCATTACTCTAAGCACTACCAAGTCATGTTTTTATGTCTTCTCCTCGAACAGGGCAAACATGTTTGGTCAAGTTAATTAATTAACCTGATAAAACACACATGCCCAGTTCCCACTGACTCCTTCCTGTTCAGCACTGAAAGATGCACCTTACTGGGGTGGACATAACAGAAGCAGCTGGGAAGACTGGTGGAGAACCAGAGAAGTGCAGCTTCCCACTGGCACCCAAGGGTCCCCTGCATCCTGTGTCATCTGCTGTGGCCACTGCTGTGAACTACACAGCCCAGGGTGGCCCTTGTCCCGTGAACTCCGGTTACTGGTGCGCAGGCTAACTCTGCCTAGCCAGCACTCTTGGTTTACAAATGACAGGAGCAAGGAGCTATGCCGGGCTGTGGTGTTCTGATCTGCTGGAACAAGAAGCCGGTTTGTACTCAACTGAACTGCTAATGAAGTGTGACTAGTTCCAGGCTGCTTTTCCTCACAACCCTACGAGTGCTCTGAGAGCTCCCAGTGAAAAACAAACTTCCTGCCGTTTATGTACTAAGCCTGGAAATTCAAGAGAAAAGTTTCTGTCGGGAGTAAAACTCTTGCAAAGACTTCACCCATCTTGTCCTGTACTGCTACTTTCGTATATAGTATTTTTAATAATATTATCACTTTATAGTTTCCAAGTTTTTTTATATCCCATTATAGTTTCCAAGCTTCTAAATCCAGTGGGTCACATGCTGTGCTGGGTCAGGCAAATAGAGCTGACTCTTCAGAAAATCACTGCTAGCAGTAGGCTAACAGCTGGATGTTATCAGAAGTCTAATAAGCAGATCATCATCCTTCTACTTTGCACTCTGAAATACTTACGGGATTAGGAGTTAACAACTTTTTTCCCCTCTTGGCAAGACATTTATTTCTCTATAGCAGGTGTTCTTTTGTTCTCATTTATGCTTCGGTTGTTTTATATACAGGTAGTAAGTACAGTGCTTGCATAAAATAGCCTAGTGCTAACAGCGATTTGCTGAAGAGTTGTACAAGCATGTACTCAAATAAAAAGGATGGCAGTTCTGCTTCCCCTTGTGTTTTTTCCCTGGGCTGCATCTTTGGGGTATGCACACTGTGACACATGATAATGTTAGATCCTGGAAAATGTCTTGGACAAGGTTCTTGAAAATCACTGAGGTATTATTTAGAGGAAAGCCCTCTTCTATGACTTCTTTCAAAAGCACTGCAGACAAGCTTGGCTTTTACCAGTAAAAAAAAAAAAAGACTTGCCTGTATTATTTTTATTAAGATTTTATATAGATGAGCACTAAACCATGGATGCTTATAAACTGAAACTGGTTTTTGAAAAGCAGAAAAAACAAGCTGGGCAATGTTTGAGAGAGTGACCAGCTAACATGGGATTTCATGATCAGATCAACACTGATAATAAAAGTTAAAAATAGTAAGTAAGATAAAAAAGTAAAAAAGATAAAAATCTCATAAGTAAATGACTCCTTAAAAAATGCAGGATTAGGCCCCAGAGACAGACAAAGAAGCCATGAGGTTTGGAAATCCAGTAACTGGAATGGCTTCTTAAATACACATACAGAATTTTTGCTAAATTCATGCAGAAGACTCTGAATATATTCCTACAAAGTTGCTATGAATGCTATTATAACCGTATGACAACAGAGAATAAAAATAGAGCTGATGTATACAGCTGATCAAGGAATGGCACCTGTGCTCTGTAGCACCTTGAATGGCATCACAAATCAACACGGCCTGTAAACATGCTGTTGACTTCAGTGGGAACAGATTTTTCAACAATTACTCTGAGCTTTATGACCAGACCCTGCAAATGTGTAGGCATGTGTTTAAAATTAATCCTTTTTATAATGGCTTGTGCCCATGAGCAACTTGCGTGTACATCTCTGGAGTTGAGCTTGCGTTGGTAAAGATGTACCATGCTTATGGCTTCTCTGAATTTTAGCCAGCAGCACCCACTCTGTGCTGTTGGCAGGGATCCGTCGGTGGTAAGACCATCCATATAACTAATTCTTGTGAAGCAACTGTGAA